GCTGACACTTCGTATCCCAGGAATGCAAGTTTTGTTTGACCAAATTTACACTTTGCCGCATTAATACACAGGCCATATTCGTTTAGTCTCTCGAGGACTGCTCGTAGATGTTTTCGGTGAGTTTCTTCATCTGGAGAGGCTATTAGAATGTCATCCAAATAGCAAAACACAAATTCTAGTCCATTCAACACACTGTTCATGAAACGTTGGAACGTTTGGGCCACATTTCGTAGGCCGAACGTCATGAATGGGAACTCGAAATAAGCCAAAGGGAGTGAGAATGGCCGTTTTCGGTATATCTTTCTTCGCTAAACGAAATTTATTAGTACGCTCTAATGAGGTCTATGGATGAGAAAACTCTTTTTCCAGCTAAAATGGAACTGCAATCTGTTAAAAAGGGAAGAGGGTATCTATCAGGAATCGTGACTTGCTTAACGCTCGATAGTCACCGCAAGGTCTCCAATCACCTGATTTCTACACAGAGAGATGTAGTGGGCTCGACTAATTACTTTTGGAAGGTCCGCATAAACCCATTTGGAGCATAAATTCAAACTCCTTTTTAGGTCCGCTTTGAGTTTCTCAGCTGATAGTCTCCTGGCTTTAGCGAAAACTGGTGGACCTCTGGTTTCGATATAATGTTCGATGTTATGATTTTTAACTTTATTATTAACTACATTCAGTTTTAACAAATCCGGAAAATCGTTAATGATACGTTTATATGGATCATTTACGGCATTTAAAATCGGAATATTATTATTGTTATTTTGAAAACAAGGAGTTCCATTGGTTGTTAAGAATGTAGTACCATCAATCAACTTGCGATTTTTAGAATCTACCAAAAGGTTAAAATTTGCAAGAAAATCCATGCCTATTATCGGTTTGTTTACCTCCGCAATTACAAAAGGCCATGTGAATGATCGTCTGAGTCCAAGATCAAGCTTGAGTAATTTTTGGCCATATGTTTTAATTTTCGTACCATTTGCAGCAAAGAGTTCTAATTTTGAGATGTTTTTTTTATCTGCAGGTAAGGGAGGAATGACAGAAATTTCTGCCCCAGTATCTATTAAAAATTGGGTAGCCGATTCTTTGTCGCTGATGAAAAGACGACTCAGCTGCACCCCTTGTCCCTCCGTCGTCAATGAGAGACGGGGAGCTGGTTTTCCGGACTATTTGTCTGTGATGTTTGATGAGTAGTTGCAGGGTTGTTTACACTTAAATGACTTATCACCGAATTTTTTATGATAGTAACAAATATCACTAGATCTGTTACCACTGTAACTCCTATCTCGTGATTTGGATCGGTTACGACAATAGGGACGACTGTGGCGTTGCTTGTTTAAAGCAGAAACTTGTAAGCTAAGTTCACTAACCTGTTTTTGTAAACTTTCAATCACTTCCGTTTTTACCGTTATGGATGATGCAGCAGCTATTTGGGGAGTAACAGGGTTTAATTCCCAAATCTTATCGGCCATTGTAGCCACTTTTGACAAATCTTCACTACTAACAGATATAATGCTACGCATATTAATGGGTAAACGTTGTAGCCACAATGTTTTTAGGAAAGTATCTGTTACCTTTATCGCCAGCCAAATTACGCATCTCACACAGCAATTGAGATGGCTTTTTGTCCCCCAGTTCTGATTCACTCAGTAATTTTGGGTTTTTTTGAGTCTCTGAATCAGCATATAATGAAATCAGTCTATTTTTAATTGCCTCATATTTATTATCTTGTGGTGGACTTAGCAAAATATCAGATACCTGTGACAAAATATCGGGTTCAATGGAACTTATAACATAATCATATTTTGTTTGATCTGCACTAATTTTTGCATTTCTAAATTGTGCTTCTAGTTGAATAAACCATATTTTAGGATCTGGCTTCCAAAAAGGAGGAACTTTAACGCTTACCTTGGCGACAGATGCAGTTGTTGCTTTAATTTCGGTTTCGTCTTCGTCAGCCATTGTAGAATTCGATCACGCCGGGATACACCAGTGAAGTGTCTGGTATGCAAATGTAGGAAAATAACACTTCTCTAACTCCAATGGAACCAATATTTTATTCCTTACAAAGTTATAGATTCTTATCCATAAGATTTATTTGCATTTTACATGCACGTAGAATCGCATGACAGAAAACCGAAGTTTGTTTACTTCGTTCTTCACGGAGACAAGAAGGTGTTGCCATTCCGCTTTATCTAAATTTAATTAGAAACTTGACTTAACTGAAGCAACACTACAGTGAGCATTAAAAGAATCAGCTATTTCTTTCTCAATTATTAGAAGCATATCTGCAAACCTAATGAGCTCATTTCTTTTCTCTTTTTGATTATTAAGCATAGACAAGAAGTAATGTGCTGTCAGGGCATCTTTACGAAAGTCAAGATCCTCTACAAAACCTTGGCAAAACAAAGGCATGCCGCTTGGCCTCTCTAATAGCTCCCTGGTAAGGCAAGATTGTTGCATGCCAAGTTATATACAATCCTTCATCAGCCTGTAGATTGAGCCCAATCTCTAGCCACATCTCTATTTTCTGTAAGGATCTGCAAATCTTTGTTCCAAAGAAGTAGAATACTTTTTACTTTGACCTCTTGGTATGCACTCAGTCACACAAACCAAGACAATATCATTAAAATAACCTATGGTTCTTAACATTACCTGACACAAACGATTCCATCCTCAAGCTGTCAGTTAGCTCTTGATATCTGGTCCAATCTGCTCTTTTAAGGTTCCTCTAATTGATTCAATCATCTGAAACTGGTTTCTAAGCTGAGAAATTATAGAAGGATCAACATCAAAGAAAACAACAGTCTTCAGTAGACTGTCTTATTTTAAGTTGGCCAATAATGTGCCTATCTTGAGAGTTATCAGATTTTCATTTTTGAAACATAATTTGTCTTATCTAATTAAAAAATAACCTGAAATGTTTTTCAGAAATCTTCTATTAACAGTTAAACCCATTTACTTGAAAGCTTCAAAAAAGCATCCTTTCGACAATGTCTAATTTATATATTTGTTTTGAAGAGTTAATCCTCATTAGTCACATCATATATTGTTTGTTCACTTATTCTCTTTTACAAATAGAATAAGCTTCATCCAGTGTAATTGAAACATGCTTTTCAAAACTTAATTTTAATTCCCTCCCCCCCCCCATTTTTCAGAACTACAATGGAAAGCTTTCTGAGATAAAATATTTAGAAAGCTTCCATAAACTGCATTTTATGATTAACAAATAAGTAATAATATCATTAAATTTCATAATGTATATATAGTACAGTCAAAAGTCTATAATCCGGACTCGTCGAGACTTCGGCGATTCCGGATTATCGGTTTTTCCGGATTATAGATCATCAATTTAAATCTGGTAAGATGGCATGCAGAAATTATAAAATTAAAAATATGAAACCGTAATTTATGAAATAAAGAGCAATTATGATCTAAAGGGTATCAAAATTTACAAAAAAAAGCTTAATATTTATTTGTTTACTTCATTAAACATTTCTTTCAACGCGCACATGTGTAAAGCATACATTACACGAGTAGTTATTAGTCGAAATTAGAAAATTGCAACCAGAAAACTATTTGATGAAATACTACATTTAGTAAGGAATTATAAGCCGAATAAAATAAAAACATCCACCTTGAAGATGAGGATAGTGCTGACAGATCAACTTCCAGTTAATTGCGTGCCGCGATGTTCCCCCCCTTCCCCGCAGAGCAGCTTGAAATTGATAAACAGATTTCGGAATGGTTAGAGAAACAAAGGATATGCCTTTATCCATTTCTTTGCAGCAATTCCACTTTTTGTTTGATGGACATCGAAACATGCTTTCGCTTTGTAGATCCTTTGGCAGCTCCAGAATCGGAAATTCTTTTTGACATAATTGAAAGTTCAAGCTTACTTTTATAAAATTGCTCTAACAGTCTGCGCAAAATAATAAGCTCGATCCAATTAGAAGGTTAAGGAACAACAGAATCTGCAACATTAACTGAAATAGATAATTAGATAATTTTAGCTTAGCTTATACCGTTTGTTATACATTAAATGCGCATGTGCAGAAAGTTTGTAGTTTTGAGGTTAGAATTATAGATCATTCTGGATTATGGACATCCAGATTAAAGACTTTTGACTGTATATTTAACAGCTGATTTATTCAAAAGTAAATCCTTGACTTAGCAATATTTTATTTTATTTATTTTATTTTATTTTATTTATTTATTTTTTTTTTTTTGCATTTCTTGACGACTCACTAAATTAGAATTTGACTAATTTTCATTTCTTGAAGCATAATTTTTGTATGTATCAAAAGAAGAAATAAAAATATTGATGTAAAGTGTACAGGTTTACCATTGACCAAGTATTTAAAACCTTTGAGAATTCCATCTGTTGTGGAACTTGAGTCATGTTGAATATAGATGTACAACTAAAAAAATGTAAAAGATAAATTATAATTTTAATTAGCAATAGCTCTTGGATGCTTAATTTTAATTTGGTATATCACCTTTGTATTCAAAAAATAGCAATCATTTTCTTTACTGCATCATTTCGAATAATCCATGTCATAAGACTCTTGCATAATACTGGTGATGTAAATAGAACTAAAATAGGCAATAATAATTTGACCGCAGTATTAATTATCCAAACAAATTAAATTTTCATCCTGAACACTAACCACTTGCTTGCTATACTTTGGCCTAGCTAGACTGCTGCTTGCTGTTCTCTTCTTACTGCAAAGTTATCAAAAATGTAAATGTTTTGAAATGGTCGCAAGTAATGTAATTTGAGATTTATATGCATAAATACCATATTAAAGCTTTCTTTCGTATTTGTATTGGCTATTCATTAAACATATTTCTTATTGATTTACATATTGCTTTGCATGTGCAATGTAAATAAATATGTACATAAGTTATGAGATTTATATGCATAAATACCATATTAAAGCTTTCATTCTTATTTGTGTTAGCTATTCATTAATTGTATATCTTGCATTGATTTCCAGGTAGCAAAGATTTTGTTGTTAAAGCTCAAGTTCTGGCTGGTGGTAGAGGTAAAGGTGTCTTTGAAGGAGGCCTTAAAGGTGGTGTGAAAACAGCATATTCGTAAGTTTGATGTTTTTATTTCCTAAAATGTGTTTTATTTATCTGATCTGTGTATGTGTGCTTAAATTTTTATGATCTTGAGGAGAAGCTAATCTTATGTTGGGCTTATGCATTCCATGTTTTTGCATTCATACTTGATGCAGAAGTAAAGCAGGGCCTGATGAAATAATAATCGGTGATGTTGTTATAAAAATAAATGCGAATTTGAAGCTGTGATGGAATAATATTTAAATAATATTAAATTTTTTTTATTCGGAATATTCCATTATATATTTTTATGTAATTATTCTTTGAAATAGTTGTGTAGTTTATGTCACAGTACAAGCAATTGCTTAAATTCTTCAAATTTAGTTTCTTTCTAAGGTGAAAAGTTTCACATCCTCGTAGAAGCAATTTATTCTGTTATACAATGCTTATGCTTCCATTATCTGGTGAATGGAAGCATAAAACAAAACGTGAAAACAAATCACCCTTTAATCACCCTCAAAGTAACATCCGTTGGCCACAATACACTTATGACATCATTGATAAAGCTGCTGGAATAAGTCAGCGAAGGCCCTTTAGGGATTTATCAAAGCACAGATTTAACACGTCCTCACAGATGTGTGCTGTGTCTGCAAAACGTCTGCCCTTGATGACTCCCGTGAGGTGAAGGAACAGAAAGAAGTCTGCAGGCCTTAGATCAGATTAGTACAGTGGATGTGTGAGAACAGTTACACAATGTTGGGCCAAGAAGCTGCGTACATGGATTGCAATATGCGGGCATGCATTGTCATGCAGCAAACTCGACTTTCCATTCCTGTACATCTGTGGGTGAGCATGTTGGATGTGCAGTAGTAACCACTTCAAAACAGTTTCGTTGAATTCGGCATTGACAGTTTGCCCTTGTGGGACAAATTTTTGTTGGATCATGCCATTGCTATCGAAAAATGCAATCAAGAGTGTCTTGATTCTGAATTTCTGTAGGTGACTCTTGGTGCAGGGAAGTTGGTGAGCACCATTCCATTGTTTACTGTTTCGATTCCAGATCGTACCGGTAACACCTGCTCTCATCTCTTGTGACAATGGTTTGCAGGCAGGTTAAATCTTAGTCATATGTGTCGAAATCTTGAGCAGTGTGCATTCATGTTTCTTTCTGCTTATCAGACAATGAGTGCGGTACAAAACGAAAACAGATCTTGCACTTACTCAAATCTTGGTGAATGATGGTGCTAATATATCCTTGCTGATTCCCAATTCCTCCAATATCCATCATAAAGATAATTGGCGATTGTTTAAGAGCATCTGCCGCACCCCCTCAATGTGCCGGTTATCACACTTGTTGAGAGTCGACCTGAATGTGGCTCAGCATCCATGGTTTTCTTTCCTTCCTGAAAATGTTTAAACCAGTCATACACGCATTTTTTGCTCACTGCATCTGTTCCGTACACCTGGACCAACATTGCATGCATTTCTGTGGCAGTTTTTCCCAATTTGTAGCAAAATTTGATGTTTATCCGTTGCTCCATTCAAATATATCACGTGTCTTCAAACATACACCATTCGACTGCCCATAGCAGACTATTCTGCCTTGGTTTCTTGTGCTTCTGTGCCGTCTCTCTCTATGCATTTTTATCTGTGCATGGTTGCATTTTTAACTCATGTTGTTTATTAGATGTCCATGCATTCACCAAACTTCTAAAATCCAGTTTTCGAAGAGTAAAATGACCACCTCTCTTTCAACGTAGGATGCTTTTTATCTTTTCATGATTTTGATTATGTGCATGTGAATATATAGGAATTGAAGAAGTAGAGGATGTTAATGAGATCAGTAAATGAAAGTGGCTCAATGCTATAAATTGTCATTCCCTGCACAGAGTTCGAGCAATTTGCATTCTTACATCAGCTTTTGACAGAAAGAACAATTCCTACATAGAGAGGTATTGAATCAACAAGCATTTAAACATTATCAAAGCTGTACGAGAATGGATCATTCTGCACTGACAGATATAATAAGGACAGGGGAAGCTATCACAGAACTTCTGCAGATGCTGTGCTTCTCGGAAAAAGCTGTGATACATATATTTGAAGGTAATCGTGCTTCTAACATGAAAGCTGTTGAATGTGTATTGTGAACTAACCTTTTTTTTTTTTTTTTTTGTAAGACTTAAAATGAGGGATGGATGTAATCATGTTATCTGCAAAAATTGTAAGCATTGAAACTGGATGATAACCCTTTGTTTGTTAACTTTGCTCACTGGTAGTCTACAGCTTAGTGTAGGCTACAGCAAATCCTGATTTACGTTTGTATGTCTTGCTTTGTTCATCCAAGTATGTTTAACACTCACAATTATGTCATTTAGATGCATGATAATTCACATGTAACAAGACTGCATGCTTACTAGGAAAAAGTCTCCATTAATAATTGGGCTGGCATGGTACACAATTACTTAATATGACAGTGCATTTTACTTTGTTATTTAAACAGCTGCTTAAGGCATTTTTCTATATGATACCTTTCCAAAGCTTCTTTCTTGTGTTCCTTTTCCTGCTTGTACATGAATGTGGTTTCAGCTCAATGGAATTCTGGCTGACTTCAAGCGTAATGTCAGAAATTATCTCGATCTGCTTATAGCACTAGTAAGAATGAAGGAATGGGAGAATTTGTTCTTTTAACAATCATCATCATCATTGAATGTGCAGATTTCGCATAACATTTGAAAGTCCCATTGAGACTCATCTGATGTGATCTCAGTTTGATGAATATCTTGTGACAAGATTGTCTGCTGGAAATGTGTGTGAAATGCTTTAGATTTTTGCTAATATATGCCAATCCCAGTTTGTAGCAAAATTTGATGTTAGACCAGTGTGAATCGTGTATTGCTATTGGTGGTTGTATTTTGAAACAATTGTTGTAAAAAGCTGAATCATTAAAATGTTTGTCTCTTTTAATTTTACCTGTCTTTCTTACCCATTTTTCATATCTTCCTTACATGCCAGTGCTTATGATTGTCATTTCTGCATACATATTCTGTTATAAAACCTGTTTACTTTGATCCCCTCTATCTGAAAGTGTACTTTTTATCAAATATTTTAATATCACTCTGTATAACTTATGGCACACTAAGGCATTTAAATTTTTAATTTGCAGAAATTTGTGTCCAATCATAAATCTGAAAGCAGCATAGAGTTTCTAAAGAAAAAGAGGAAGTAGACATTTGGAAACCCTTTTCTAGTAGTTCCATAATTAGGAAAGGATTTTCTATAGTGAAAGAATTTCAAGGGTCAATTAAAATTACATCTGTTCCCCCCATTTTGTGCAGAGTAGTATTAACCATTTCACTTCCAGCATATCATATGTGAATAAGCTCTGTTTCCTTCCATGGGCGCACTGAATCAAATATAATACAGGAATGAAGTGCCGCTGATGGCCCACTGTATCATATTTGATATGCTGATGTGGAATGTTTTATTTCAAATGCACAAAAATTATGTCAAAATACGGCGAAAACTTACTGAATAGAATCTCTATAGTGTAAGCATTGTTGTGATGATTATTATTCATTACAGGTAGGCTTCCTACAATGTCTCAGATACATTCCTTGAAAGTACCGCGTTCATGGAAGTTGCTTAATGGGAGACACCAACTTGATACAAAAATCGGGATTCAGTTTAAAAAAGAGAAAAACTGCCTTTTATGGTGTAACATTTTCATCAGTTTTTTATAATTTATGTACATAGTAATGATTCGATTTTTAAATGTTATCAAATTTATATATGTTAAATTTAGGTAGAAGTAAAAAATACTGTATAAGGAAATGAAAAACAGTTGTTAATTAAATATGCTGAGTATGGCAAGAAGTAGCCAAATGTGCAGTGAACTGAAGAAATCGAACAACTGCAGGCTGTTTGGTGCATATGGATAACTTGAAGGACAAGGTGAAAAGGTTATGCTACCATTGTATGTGTTCTCAGGTTAGACTGTCATGAGGTATATTGTGAGTGGCAATAACTATGACACATTTATGAAAGTCTTGCTTGAGTTGTACTCTTGCACAGAATTACTTTATTCTCACTCAGAATGTCTACATAAAATTACAATGCTGGAAAAGCAAGTAAGCCACAGCTGTCACACAGAGATGGTGCACTGGGTCACAAGGGAATAATGAGAATGAATGTGCATCAGTGGTGGTTCCTAGAATCTCTGTCTAAGGGTAAATTTCTGGTTTCTTTGTTGGCATGGTGTGTTGGTTAAAGGTTTATCCAACTGAAGACTAGGGGGTGGAGCTGCCACACATTTCCTAAACCGCATTGTAAAAGTACCACATTGTAAGGAAATTTTTGCATTTTTCAAAGTGCGTTCTAAAAGTACCAAGTTGTAGGAGGCCTATATGTATTTTATTCTACAAAAGTAAAATGCATTATGCTAACCGCATATGCTCATGATTTAGAAATATTTCATGCAGTGCAAGTGACTTAAAATTCTTTTTCAGAAATATGACAGACAGTAAGATATAAGCGCTAATATTTAAATTCTTGAATTTTTGCTTTATTGTTATGCAGAATTAATTTAAATATGGGAATGTAATCATTACTACTAATGTTGCACATGATTGAATTTTTATTTGAATATGAAGGTTTTCTGTTTATATTGTAAGAAATAACATATGCAAAATTCAAATATTTAGGTAAAAAGCAGATTTTATAAGAATTATTTTTGCATGTTAGGTTTAATTGCAAAATCCACTGAAACACATGTTCAGCATTGCAAGGTCATGGGCACATAGAGGAACTTTGTTCGCTCGATGTCAAGAGTGAAGAGGTTAAGCAATATTACCTCATATCTCAAACTTGCTGATTAAATTGTCTTATTAAGTACACCTAATTGTAGAATTCAATAACACATTCACAATTTGTGGTCTTATCAAATATGAAAAGGCTTATTAGCAAATTTTGATCTTGATTTTGACAGATTTTAGAGAATATAGCTTGCACATAACCTGATTGTATTTTAATTGCTTAGATATTGAATTTCTCTAAATTAGTTGTTATCAGTGTTCTTATTTTTAAGTGTAAAATTTTTCAAAAGCATTTGCATGTTGCCAGTTTCGAATTTTTATGAAGGAAATAAAAAAAGGTTGGATAATAACAATAAACTATACTTTTATAAATCAATTAAGTAAATAAATTTCTAACAAATATTACTTTTAGCCCTCAGGAAGCCAAAGAATTAGCAGCACAAATGTTGGGTAAACGATTGGTAACAAAACAGACTGGAGAAAAGGGAGTCTTATGTAAAGAAGTTATGATTGCTGAAAGACTGTATACAAGAAGGGAATATTATTTTGCAATAATGATGGAAAGAGATTTTGGGGTAAGTGATATGACTTGTGTTTTTTTAATAGTGTGTGATCTGTTGAGATCATAGATGTTGAGATCATCTTCCAGTAATTAGAAAATGAAAATGCTGCTGTGCTTGTATGCAAATGAACACAGAGAAAAGAATAAATATGAGTTGCCGAATGTGTAATGTTGAGTTATGCAAAGAATGCTTTACCCTGTCATATGATGTAAAATCTATTTCATATAAAGTTTTCCAGTTAAATAGGTGTGCTTATAGTCAGTCACTACGTGTGAGCCATATGTATCAGGTGGGACATATGTGTTTCAGCCTTTGGCTTGAAGACCGTATCTCAAATAAATCCCAAATGCTAAATTTACCTTATTTATGACATATTTTGTTCACTTGGATAGAAAACGGGATAATATTTTTTTTTTTTTTTTAAATTTATAGTCAAAGGGTTAAAAGAAAGCATGTGAAAAAGATTGTTCAATGAACAATTACATCTGTAAATTTTATACTAAGCTGTATTTTGAATCTTTCTTTGTTATGTTCAAGGAACTATGCCTAAAATACCACCTGTACTCATGAATATTGCATCATAATCGTGCACATGCTTACCATGTATAAGAGATAAAAGATTTTTGTCTTCTGGAGTCAGACAATACTCTGAATACTTTTCTGCTTTGGTTCATTATTACTTGAAGACTTTTTTTTTCATGGAAAATAAAATCACTTCGGGAAATATTTATTTAAATAAGAATTAATAATGCCAGAGGATAAAATTTCTTATTCTGTTAGTAATGGGTGATGGAGAAATTAAGTAATTAATTTTAACACAGAGCATAACGGAAAATATTTTAAAAAGAAATGAACACTGAGTGGGATACAGTATATAATATCTAGTACCAACAAGACATACTAATGACCTTTTTATATTCATAATTATGCAACCGCAGTGTACCCTCGATTATCTGGGCTAATTTCGAGAAAGAAGGGCACAGGTAATTAAAAAACATGGATAATCCAAATTTTCAATTTTCATTTATAGTGTATGTGTTTATTTCTTTTTTTTTACTTTGTTTCTGAGAATATTTAAATATTTATCGAATATCACTGCATATTTTTTGAAGCGCTGTTTTCTCATTGTATTCAAATCCCTTTTGGTCAGCAAAATCCAATAAAATTCCAAAAGAAATAATTGCTGTCTTAGGACTAACATAATTGTCAATAGCTTCTTGCTTGCTTTTTCTGTTCTTGTGATAATTGAAATAATATTTACATCAGTCAAGCAATCAGTCAAGCATTGAAAGCCCGGCACAATCGAATTATCCTTGAACTATTCCTCGATGTGTCCTGACAATATTTTCGGTTTTCCAACATTCAGCTTCAGTTATTTCCTCGATTTCTTCAAAATTAGATAAATCTCCAATTATTAAAAATTTTTTTTGTATTCTCAAACTGGCACATGTTTGTTTTTTTAATACACTGATGCATAGCACTCAATGTACATGGGGGGGCACAGCCATCCACAGATAATCGAGAGCGCATTGTAATACAATTTCTCAATTTTAAGTATACTGAAATATTCACTACTACTACTAAAATATAGCTTTAAAACCATATAAAGGGTCCAGTGATTATTGCTAGCTCCCAAGGAGGTGTGAACATTGAAGAAGTTGCCAGAGATAATCCAGAAGCAATTATAAAGGAACCTATTGATATTATGACAGGTCTTTCATCTAATCAAGCTCTAAAAGTGGCTAAATATCTTGGATTCAAGCAAAATAATATAAATCAGGTATGATATTATTATTTGTTTTATATATGCAGATAGTCACAGAAGTGCTCTGCTTAATAAATTCATATAATTGACAAGCTATCAATTTAACATTTAATTGATGTAGTCAAAGAACATAAGTGTATATGATAAAAACTTTAGTTCACTAGTATGAATTCAAACATGAGTTGCTGTGGGATTATTTTGAAAAAATATTTAATTGGGAAAATCGAAAATCCATAATTTTTAAGGTGAGAAGATATCTGAAATTTTATCAGTATTTGAAAAAATATTTTAAATTATTTTATCACTTATGCTGCTTTTTGCTCATGTCTGAAAAAAATATATCCCTTTCAGACAGTATAAATTTTAGATTAATTAGAGGGAAAAAATCTAGCAAGTAAAGAAAACATGTAAGAATTTTACACCAGTTTTTTTTCTTCCAAAACTTTTCTTATTGAAATCTATAGTACAAATTAAACTTTTCATTCTGTATATAGATCAAATATTCCATTTATGTCATATATATGTGTATGTACAGTACAAAGTTCGTAATCCGGACTCGTCACGACTTCGGCGATTCCGGATTAGGGGTTTTTCCGGATTATAGATCATCAGTTTAAATCTGGTAAGATGGCATTCAGAAATAATACAATTAAAAATATGAAACCGTAATTTATGAAATAAATAGCAATCATGATCTAAAGGGTATCAAAATTAATAAAAAAAAGCTTAATATTTATTTGTTTACTTTAGTAAACATTTCTATCAATGTAAGTTATATTTAAGTTGCTTTTTTTGTGCTAATGCTTTCTCTTTAATTCTATAAATAGACATAATTTCTTGTTCAGTTACAAAGTTCCACTGTTCAAGTCCTGTAATTGCTGTGTCAAGAATACCGACTAACTTGTCAATCGAAATTTTTTCGTTTTCAATAACGTTCTCTGTTACTTTCTTCACTATCGGAAACGCGCATGACTAAACACTTTACTGGTTTTACGTGTATACGCGCATCAAACGCGCATGCGTAAGTTTGTGGCTTTGAGGTCTGGATTATAGATCATTCCGGATAATGGATGCCCAGATTAGAGACTTTGTACTGTAAGATTAAAAAAAAAAAAATATGTAGATCAGTTTTATAATTTAATTTAGTAATAGTGTCTTAATTCCTCATTTTTAATTTGGCTATTTCCTCTTTATTCTTAAAAAAAATTAATAACTTTTCTGGAGTGTGTCATTTCTAGATAAATATATGCTGGAGCTTGCATAATCCGGAACTACTCTGATATGCGCCCTCAAGTCGCCAAATATTTTTGGCGAGAAACTTCACGCTGCCATATTACTATCTAAATTTTTTTGTCTACATTTTGAACTTTTAGCCTAAAATGTCTCCAAAAACGCGTTTTTCGCACATGCAAAAACTACGTTTTGAACACACAATTTAGCTAAAAATCCGAAACAAAAACAAAAAATTTAGATAGCAAAAACGTAAAGTTTCTGACCAAAAATATTTGACAAGAAGCCATGTACACAGTGACATGTTTTAACTTAAAAAAACATCTACGAATGGCATAATGTAGGCAACGAACGAATCTACAAACTACGCACACCTCGCTTTAATAACTTAACATAACAACAATAAATTTCAAAGAATACCATGCACACAGCATCCTGTTTAAACTTAAAAAAAATTCTATGAATTGCACAATTTAGGCAAGGAAGGAATCTACGATCTACGCACTCCTCGCTTTAATAAAATAACATAACAACAATAAATTTCAAATAATAGCATGTACACAGCGTTCTGTTTCAACTTTAAAAACATCTACGAATTGCACAGTCTAGACACTAAACAACAAAATAAACTAAAATAAATTTCCAAAACAGTTTAAAAAAAACAACAATAACACAGAAATTCATACTAAAGAAAACAATGAACATAACATTCTACAAAATAAGAACAAGGATAAAATAAAATGCACTTACCATGAATTAATGCGTTTTCGAATAGCAGAAATATAAATTTCATACCGCCTTTAACATGCCACCACGTAATCACTATCGTATTTACATGACAGCCAGACACACTACCCAGAAAATTTATACTATGGTTCACAAATAAATAAAATCACAAATCTCTACTTCTATCATGCACTGCCATTAAATATAATCTCCCAGACCCTCTTTCCACCCTTCCAAATACCCACTACAGGATAGCCACAATGATATTTCCTTTTGCCGAACTTCAACTCAACAACTACCATTTTATCTTTCCCTCCCATCTTTTCAGACACAGAGGTGAACCAACGAGCTCCAGCGAAAGATTTTTCAACGTCAACAGGGTTGCCATAGAACACGCAATCGTGCCAAAAACCAGCACAGAACACATATCGCCACATTTGGTGAAATTAGGGTGTGTATTAGAGTTGTACCCATAATCCTTATGGCATAGTTAATTCAAAACATAAACTTTGATAACGGAAACTTTTCTAACCTAAAATCAAAGCTTCCTCTTGGTGAGCTGCCATATTGGATAAATGCTCACTTTTAGCTTGAACTTCTGTGTTGCTTGGTTGCTGATTCACTGTGCTCTCTTCTTATTGTAAAAGTATTAAAAATGTTGATGTTCTGTAGATAGGCACGATTAAAGTACCAAGTGATTGTGGTCACAAATGTCAATTGGAAATGGAATAAAACCGCTTCAACTGCCAAGTTTCTTAGTCATTGCAAATTCTACGTTCTAAGTACCAAGTATCTTCATAATCAGTATTTCTACGCTTGACCTCAGTGTTCCTACAT